CGCGCGAAAACCGGGCACGCTACTGGGTTTGATCCTGTGGCGACCAAAGTAAGAAGACGAGTCGTGTGCGGAAGGGCGGATGGAAGGGTTAACGTGTTATAGGTCCTACGAAAGGACGTAGTTTGTCAACCCTCACGCCTCAGAGTCATGTGTCATGGAAGACTGATCTCGTTTTCATGTTTTATTTTGTGTTTGGAGAGACCTTCCTGTGGACTGATCTCCCACACAAGGACCAGAAAGGGACGGGAAAAGAGAAACAAACAGAGGCTACTGTTTTATTGTAAGGGCACATTCGTTTTTAAATATATCTGTATATTCCCATAGTGAACTCCAGGCAAATTCTGGGATAGTAAATACCTCATGGTCGTTTCTGTTCACACCGACTCCAATTCATTATTTGCTTATTCGACCCTGAACTGCTGATATCGTCCTTAAGTAAACCATAAACATTTCATTAACAGAATTTCCTATGCATTTCTAATGTCTCCTATGCCCCGACCACCTGATCCCTCTTGACTAAATACTACAGTAATGTATGACGCAGAGTAAAAATTATGAAACTCGTTTTTATTTAATTTTCTTTCTACTCCAGTTACATCCAGTCTCCAAAGTCTAAATATTGTCAACAACCTCTTCTCATAAAACCTCAATCTGTGTTCTTTCTCCAACTTTGATGACCTGTTTAACGATTTCGTGTAATTAATATGGGTGCTTATCCACATTTTTCTGTGTTGTCCTGCTGATGGCTGATAACCCATTCGACGAGACCTTCCACCTGTCGAAGAGATCCATTATTTAAGCAAAATTCACTACGGCGTGGATCAGACCACGCTGTATACTTTGTGAAAACGAAGTGTGAGATTGTTTTTGTGTGTGTCGGTTCATTAACGTTTTCCAATTTTCATTCGCCATTGTTCTGTATCCATCCGCTGTCCTTCTAACACTCCTCGTCTGTCACTACATCCTAGGTTCATTGCATTCACCAAACATTTGTTATCCTCTACTTGGACGTGTACTTATCATATTAAGTTTTATTTTAAATTATACAGTGTAGAATTTTTGTTCCATTGTGCTCTAATTACATTATTTGAGATTCTGTATTTTTGTATTAAGCATGCTATTACAAGATAGTCGCCTTCAAAATTTAAGGAATATAATATTTTGTTTCCAGTGGACATACCGCTTCATTTTATTCTCAAATTATGAAGTATATTTTCTAAATAAAATTTAAATAGTATTAACGTAGATTCGGCTGCAAAATGTTGCAACATCTAGTAACGTAATATAATTACGTAATCGGTACGACCGTGAACGCATCGTAGGAATTAGGCCCTGTCGCTAATTTCCTAATCTCGACAAATTAATACTTCCCCACTAATGTGCAGTCTCGAATCCTGATTTGTGCTGATGTTATAGAAGTCATCTTCTGTACTTCCATGGCAACGTACTGTTCCCTTTTTTGAAAAGCTGTGAAGTGTTTTAAATGTTGAGAGACAGCAGGATGTTTCTTTTACAAGTTCAGACCACCGGGTCAACAAATTGTACGCGTTTTGTACAACTAGATGGTTTATTATTTTTACAAGAGACTGCCACTTGAGTCAGTACAGAGCAAGCTGAAACCAATCCACATCTTTACACCCTGTTTGTTAATATTCATTTTAGTGTTATCATTCTGTCCACACTTGGGTCGCGCCGGGGTCTTTTCTCTTCAGATTTTCCATTATAATATATGCATTTTTTATTTCACCCATGCGCGATGCATGCCGTGTCCATCCTATCTTCCTGATTTTGTTACCCTAATAATATACGCTGAAAAGAACTCATTATGAAGGTCCTTGGTATGTAATTTTCTTTATCCTGTTATTTGGTTTATCGTAGGCCCGAAGATGTCTCTTTTTCAGATCCAGCCTTCCCTTAGGGCGAGACTTAAGAGTCAGACCCGTATAAAATAACTCGTACATCTATAATTTTTTAAACTTTAGTCTAACAAACCCGATGGAGTAGAGTCCTTGTTTAAAAGGACTAGTTAAGGAATTCCCCGTCTTTTATGGAACCCAAAGATTCATTGCTTTTTTCTCAAGAGCTCTCAAACCAATCCAGATTAATCCACTCTTCACTTTGTCACCCTGTTTTCTCAAGATACAATTTAATATTATCAGTACTTTAACGTGATTTTGGATTTGAAGCTGGTACCTAAACGAGCATTATGAATTTGGGGTGAAGGGGTAACTTGAAACTACTTTGTAGATTAGGATATTAAAAATTGGGGAGTTGTATGTGTTTGGAAGCGAGACAGTTGGCATTTCCCAAACTGCTCAATGTTTTCGGAACAGCGCCGCAATATTGCACGTGGTGAACTGGAACCAGCTGTTATAACAGCGGATCGTTTGTCAGTGTGTGTCAGGTTACCTCAGACTAGTTACAGGTATTCATCGTCTCTTACAATTCCAATATATTTTTTGTACATAATGTGGAATAGATGGTATTTGCGATGCCGAGTGTCGAATTCATTTTTTTGCAAACGTCACTCGCCAGAAGGACCAACTGAGAAAGACGCAATTCTTCGTGATTTTCACACCGCTGCACTTTCGGAGGTTGAAGAAGTTCCCGAAGTTCAAGACTTCCAGAATCAGGTAGAAATATTGACAAGCTGTTTTAATACAAAATTTATCTTTACAATGCGGCAACAAGTTGCGTTGTTATGTAAGAATTACTTGTAACTTTAGATAAAAAAAAATTCGAATTCAGTGAGAGATTAGGATGATTCTGTGAATTAGAAATTTTCTAAATCTAACATTCTTACACCATTGAGCAGGTCATATTCGTTCAGTTGTTTAAAATATTTACTCCATTTTATGGAACATGAAAATTTACGAGACCCCCATTTCTGAACCTTATCCTTAACTAACCAGTCGAAACCCTCACATTCAGTTCATTTAATTTTGTTTCAATGCTTCATACAATTCTACAAGGTGATTTATTCCCTTCCGGTTTTGCAGACGTATTAAGCGAAAGGTAGTCATAGTAACCCATTCTAAAGTTGTTACGCTGCGTATTCGAACAAAATCCGGTCAGTTTATCATCCTACAAATACTAAATTAATTACTTTACCTATCTTCCTCACATTCATGTTCTATTATCCCCGTGAACTTTAGTATTAAACCTTTGAAACCGAAGCTCGTCTAAATAAATTTTAAGAATTTAGTCCGTACTGCCACCTAGAACCGGAAACTGAGATAGCATCTTAAAAAAAAATTGCTTTCACCCAACCCCTCATACTAGTACGCCTCATTTGACGCTATATAATCTAAGCAGTTGGTACAGAGTCGTAAAATAACTGAATAATGAAACAGCTTGTTTCATATGTCAGATCTGATGTTTTTCCACCGGTGGAGATTTCGATGACGCCTTGTGGACTTATGTGTGGGTAATACTGCCTCCATCTTCAGGGGTGATAAGAATCGGTCGGTTTTTGTGAAATTAGGTATAAACACCATGTCACTGGGAGAAACCTTGTCCACATTGCAGCACTGCGAAGAGCGAATTATGAGATGGAAATAAGTCTAGAGTCTTTAAGTTTACTGAGGCGACATTATTATGGAAAAAAGTATCATTTTGTTAATTTACTAAAGGTAGAATAACAACATGGTGATCGTGTAGATCAAACATGTCAAACTCAAAGGCTAACACGGGCGAAATAAACAAGGTTTAAGTTTATGTGAGCCGCAAAAAAACAAAAACTTCAATTTTCAGAGAAACGTAGGTTTATTTCGAAAAGTATAGTATAAGAAAAAAAGAACAAGAACAACGATAGAATTAATGTTTTCTTCCTGACACTTGGCATCTCTTCTCTGTTACTATCTTTCCACCCTCGGGGGAAATCTTGTTCGCAGTGATTACTTTCAAAACTGACCGAAGGTGAATGTCAGTAATTCTGGATCTGACAGGAGACTTATTTCCTTTCGTAATTGTAAATAACTGCTCACACCGATAAGTACTTCCAAACATGGAAATAAATTCATATGCGAATTTTCGAGTATTTTCGAACCTGGCAGGTAAATATTTGTAAAATCCAGGCACGCCAACTTCACTGAATTTTGCCTTCAAATTAAGTTACGAAATTTTTATTAAAACGTTTCTTACATACCGTTATATTGGCTGGGCCGCAAAAATATACGTTGTGGGCCGCATGCGGCCCGCGGGACGCCAGTTTGACATGCTTGGTGTAGATTATTTTGAGCATGATGACAAATGATGAATCATTGTAAACTGACGTGTGAAATCTTTGTGGTTACATAATGTCTTGCCAAGGCTAAGTGTTTTTTATTCTTTTTATTTACATTGATGTTTTATGTATGTGTCGATGTCTCTTACCCAGAATGTAGGACAGAATTATAAAATAAACGGAACTATAAATCATTTGAAAATGTTACAAATAACAGTACAAATTAAAATTACGTAACTAACTTCATGGTACAGAGTCATTATTAATAAATAGTTACTTAACTAGTGAAGAAATACCCCGGCTTTTAAAGAACCCGTAAGAACAGATTTAATTCGGTAAATGCATGCAATTTGTCAATTAATATGTTTAATAATTCAGAGTCGATGTTTAAGTTCTTAACATATCTTTGGTGTTCGATAAGAAGGACGTAAGTTTGAAAGTAACATAAAGAATTGAAGATGATTGTCTTCTGGAATGTGGTGTGTAGTCTGATAGATATTGACCGACGTTTCAGAGATGCTTATTGCTTCGATTGTCAGGGCAGCAGAACACAAATACACATTCATGCCTCGAATGGAATTCGAACCCACGATCTTAGTGTTAGAACATTCAAGATCTGGTCCTTTGCCCTCACGGCCATTGTGATAAGTCACCTCCATCTAGTGAAGAGGTTAAGAATGCGTGGAGTTATACCTTCACTCACCGATACGTCTGCGTGACGTAGCGTAGAGTTAAGTATACCAGGGACATCTCACCTTCACTTTCTTTCCTACAGCTGCTTCTGGCAATGGCGGCCTCGCTGGGGTACATGACCACTGGACTTGTACGTGGGTTCTCTTCGCCTGGGGTACCCTCCATGAAGCAGATATCGCCCCATCTCGTGCCCGACGACAATGCTTTTTCGTGGATAAGTAAGATTAATACTTTCTTGTCGCGAAATTCCTATGCCTCTAAAGTCGATAACAATACAAAGTATCTTTTATTTTTCTCCTGTTATTTCTCTGGCTTTAGTATACTGCAATTTTATTTATGACGTAATTTTGAATTAAGCAAATTTGTGTTAGGGTTCCTTTTTTTTAAATTTATAGCAAGAATTTCAATGGCTGGATTCCGAGGCTTCGGTTGTATTTGGTGTATTGTAAAGAATGTATGTAAATATTTAATGTCGCTTTGTCAGTGCGTTGGTTAGTCTATAGCATCACGACTTAAAATATAGTGGGTAATTAGGTCTGGCATTACTAATTTTCTGTTGTCGGGAGCTGGCTGTACTCTTTATCTTCAGGTACTTTGCTACAAGTTTTTTTTTATCGACAGACCAATTGCCGGCTCCAAATCTTTCGTGTGAGTAAAAACAAGAGCCTTCTGTAGTGGCTACCGGGGTTCTGTACCCGTTGGTAAGGCGGGCGGGGTGGGAAGCTGACCACTCACCCCCACAAGGTACTGAAGGCAAGAAAGAATGGAGCTCCCCCTGCATGTCAAACGATGTGGTGCTTATTTAAGCACCAGGACCATTCTACCCTTATCATATTCAGGAGACTAAGTTCCTTATTGTTACAACCACAAATTGATCAATTTTAACAGCCTTTGATGACGAAATTGATGTTAAATTTACGTGAAAAATTGGTAGAATTGTAACTGAAAGCCAAATACATGAGGGAAGAAATCCCATATAGACTCTTGTGGGACTGAATCTGTGTCTCTGTAGTGAGAAGCCAGCATTCAACCCCTGTTGTCTTTTATCTTCGTGGTAGGTTCTATTCCTCCATCTGGCGCTTTCATGGGGAGTTTGTGTGCCGGTCCATCGATGCAGTTGCTGGGCCGTAGACGGACCGTGATGTTAAGTTCACCTCTGTGGGTCTTGGGTTGGTGTCTTATTGCCCTTGCTCAGAATTATGAGATGATGCTGTTTGCAAGAATCCTCACCGGCTTCTGTGTTGGACTTGTAACACCGTCGACTGCTGTATATGTGAGTTTCAACATTTGAGTTTCTTACGTATTCATTTTAAGATACTGTATCAGCTGGTGTGGTTATGTAGTATCAAATTAAATATAATTATTCAACTAACCTCAAAAAGCCAATTGTATGCTCAGCTAATCACGAAATTATGTGCCCGTTTCAAAACCCAAAGGGTCATTTCCAAATTTACAGAAGTTTGTCACTTATCCGTATCGTGAGCTGTATGAATCCAATGCGAGTCTGCAAACCATATATTCCTAAGATACATTTTGATGCTATATGTAGAATGGTTATGAATGATTTTTTTAGAATAGAATAGATTTTATTTACATGCCGTAGTTCTTAATAGCACAAATACAATTTTTGTTTTAATAAAAATATAAATTAGAAACTTATATGAGTAATTTACAGTCAACTACATTGCCCTGCCATTGTTCTAATGATTTTCTTTTGAATGTAAAATACTTTTTAGCTGTCTGTTCATTTTCCCCAGAAAATAATTCCATAGGACTTCATTGAATGGAAGAAAGCAAAGCTGACTAATTATAAATTTTATGTTTAGTGATGTGATAGTCCTCATAGCAAAACGTGCCGAGCTTTAGTTAGGGATAATGTATTGAATGTGTGCTTTACAGTTTAGGTTATTGTCAATTTGTAGGCCAAGAAATGTAATTGTTACTCATTTGATTATTTTATCCTCATACCCTACACGTAGATTAACACAATTTATGTTGGTAGTGCAAAATGTCTTTAAATTTGTTTTGTAAAAATTTAATGTGAGTTTATTGGTTTTAATCCTTTTATTCAAGCTAGCAGAGACGTCATTCATGCTAATTTGGAAACAGTCAGTCAGCATGGGTTTAGATTGGGAGTTAATGGTTTGTGGTAAATCATCGATAATTATGAGGAAAAGCAGATGGCCAAGTATTAAACCGTGACAAACCGCATGTTTTATAATTTCCCAATTTGAATAGGTGCTATCATTTGAACCTAGTTATTTGATTTCTACTTGTCATGAAGGTATGATTTAAACCACATCCATAAAAATGTAGTTTTGATAGTTATAATTCATGATTTATAGAATCAAATTCTTTAGAAAGATCACAAGATATTCCACTAACAGGCATTTTGTTTATAAGAGCAATTAATATCTCATCTCTAAAATTGATACTAGTTTTATCAGTTGAGAGACTTCTCCTAAATCCAAATTGTTTGCTTGCAAGGACATCTTTCGAGTCCAAAAAGTCACTCTCTTATATATGACTTTTTCAGGTATTTTAGAGAAAGCCGTTAGTAATGTTTTTGTTAATCACATTAGCTGTGTATCGTCGAATTGTAGGATGATTGTAAATAATGAATTGGAAAGGATGTGTAAGGGAATGGGCATGGCCTGTTGTAAGATACTGCCTAGAGAGACTGAAAGAAATGCAAAATCCCAGCCTGGATAGCCAGTCTCTGGTCCAAGATTTGAAACTGAGAATTCCTAAGAATGATGAAGGAATGATAACCACAGAACCTTAGCATTTGGTTCCCCATTTTGAAGGTAAAAGATGAAGCACATGGCATTGTTTAACAACACATCCTTGTAGGATTTGAGGTTTTTATGGCTGTGCGATTCTAGATTATTGTCTTCTGAGTTGTGCGCCATGTAGTTTTGTGGCTACTTCCTCGTTGTGTTATTCATAACTGCATTTTTAAGATTCATTACATTGGTCCCAGCCACTGGGTGGCAGAACATCAATTTACAGCATATATAAGTCAGAACAATTTTTTGGTATAAGAAGTTTATGGCACATCATTATCATGTTTGAAATGTTGAAACCACCCCAATAAAAACTGGATTGCAGTAACACAAACTTCCCATTTTCAGGTTAGTGAATGCTCATATCCTGAGATCCGTGGGGTTCTAGGTTCATTACCAGCGCTATTCATGGCAGGTGGTATCCTGCTGTCATACATAATGGGAGCATGGTTACCATGGAACCAACTAGCATGGGCATCAGCAGTTTTCCCAGCTCTGTTGCTTGTTGTTATGATACCACTACCAGAATCACCTGCCTGGTTGCTCTCAAGAGGTCAAATTGTTGATGCAGATAAATCTCTCAAGTGGCTACATCATCAACCACGCACACCAAGTAGTAGCATACCCGTAGAACTTCGGCAGACGTCAGTTTTTACTGTCACGTCCGAGGCTACACAGCCATCAGTTTCTTCAAATAAAAATTTAAAGAGCGGATTCAGTAGAAAAGAACTTTTCCGTCGACCTGTTCTTGTACCTTTTGCACTTACCTTTACTTTATTAATATTCCAACAGGTTAGTGGGATTGATGCCATAATTTTCTATACTGTTTCCATCTTCCATTCAGCTGGAAGTCAAATAGATGATCACTTGGCTACCATTCTGGTTGGTTTGGTTCAACTAGTTGCTAATTTTGTGTCACTATTTATTGTGGATCGAGCTGGAAGGAGACCATTGCTGATAGCATCAGGAGCACTAATGTGCGTTGCTCTTGCAGCTTTGGGTGTACACTTCCATCTCCAGAAGTATGGCATGGGTGAGGGTTTGGGGTTGTTGCCTCTTATCAGCCTTACGGTATTCATGGTTGGCTTTTCCATTGGCTATTGT